AGCCCAACAATTGCCTAACAGTAATCAGCAAGTACTAGTCTTACCATTTATACAACAACTGATAGAATGAGAATTAACACCTGAACAGATAAGCAGATTAGCAGACCAATTAAAAGCAAACTGAGCCTTACACTCTAAAGGAAATAAAAGAACAAAAAGACCACACGTTGTAGAAAAACGATTATCATCTTTAACTAAACCAGGAAGAAAGTACCAATACCAAACTGAAACTGAACAATTTGACGGATATCTTACAGATACAGCATCTATACTATCTTGGAACTGTAAACAAACATAAGATATCACATGCTATATAAGACAATAGGGACAATCGCACTAGTAATCAACATTGGTAATTATAATTAATCTTCTTACCAATATTAGAATAGTCATTTACAACATTAAATAATATAAAGCTTCAACACAAAATACGAACTTGCTAGAAAAACATAAACAACTAAAATTGAAATATATACCATGATCAACAGTACAGAGATCAGCAACTGTGAACAAGAAAATCAAACACAACTATACCTTATATTTACAATAGTGATATTAGCCATATTATACATATTGACAATCGTACTTTGCTGTTGTTTACAACAAAAATATAAAAAGAGAATCTACAAGAACTACCCTAATGTTGGATATTATACTCAACAACAAGAATCTACTTGCATTATACTCTAAATATACCTATGCACATACAACCTAGAACACAATCCACTGATATAATTATCCTAATTATTATCATAATTGTTATATCACTTATATTAGCTCTTATTGGAATCGTTGGATTACACACTCAGAAACAAAAGAAAAGAAAACATAATCAAGAATCTATAGATTATACGCAATATACTTTAACTAATTAATGTTCTTATTTAAGAAAAAGAAAAAAAGAAAAACATTACTCGACCCATCTTTTTACACACAACAAGCACAAGAACATAACAACTTTCTTAACCAACTGGATATACAAAACCAACGATTTATAGCCAGATACCAAAGGCCCAACCAGCAATACAACAAAGCATTCAAACTAGTAGAAGATAGTATACCTAATGCATACCCTATACAAAGGCCACCTAAACTAAATTAACTATTACAACTACCACCAGGATATATCACACCGCATTTAGGACATTTTACAAATTATTCTGAATCTAACTTACTTTACAAACCAGTAGTACCCAAGAGGAGTAAATATAAATCACCTTTTATTTAATGCAAGAATGCCAACAAGTACAAATCTTAACTATAATTATACCAACACCAACAATATTTCAAATAATCATATAACCAAAGTACAAACTATACAGCTAACAGCATCAGTTTTTACCTCAACTATTGTAACAACTGAATCAGTAACACCCAGATTCTTTCAAGACCCAAATACAATTATAGAAAATATTGTAATCATAATAACAAAAATATTTATAATACTACTATATGTATTTATTAAGTGGAGACAGAACATAGCAGAAAACAAAAGAAAAAAAATATAAACAAAGAAGCTTTAAGAACACACGATAGCATCAACCAAACTGTTCAATAATAATTAATAAATACACCAAAGCATTATAAAGACTTACATGCTTACAAGAGCGAATCTCTTATCAACTCTAACTATTCAATCGATTGGAACAAGTTAGACAAACAACTTGATCTTTTGGAATACAAATCTAAACCACTAGTGTATAAACCACTTATACAAGAAGAAAAAATAATATACAACAAGATAACATTACTAATTAATACAAAAAAACCGTTAACACTAGCAGAAGAACATAAGCAAGCATACTTAATATACAGCATTAGAAGAAGTGATCCTATTGAATATCAACAAAACATAATGAATCTATTTAACCAAAATCTCGAATATATAACAATGTTCACAAATAAAAAGTATCTAAAGAGCACTGATTAATGACCATCAGTGAAGCATTAAATCAAAGATACTCATTTAGTTATACACATTACAGAAGTAACAAAGCCTACTACAAAACCTTTAGAACACACTTTAATAGCAGTAAATATTCAGAAAAGCTTATTAGTAAAGACCAATTTGATAGTGACCAGAGACGAATTGATAAACTGAAATGATTATTTACAAACCAACCAAACCAGTACAATGAAGAAAACAAGTAGCAACATTAGTACTAGCACATAAGCACCAAGAAATAGGAACACTAAACTGGGCATTACAAGCAGCAAACAAAACTCTAAAAGATTATATAAGATACTGTGCATACTTAGAACAAGTACCTATAGAATTCCTACCAGAAGACCTAAATAAAATTTAATGTCATCAGCAACAGGATCATCTACAGAAACACCACCAACAGCAACAATGACCACATTTAAAGAAACTAAATTTCCTGATCTAAGTAAAGTAAATATCACTAAAGATATCATAAAAGAAGTAAGATTTAATGGAAGAAATTGGACAACATATTTCAAAACACTTATGAACAACATAACCTTGTATATACCAGAACCTTTATTAATGTTAGAATTCTTTAATAGAACTCAAAATTATAGATATACCTATGATGATAATATAGTATGCATAGAAAGGAATCCTAATGATGCCACTAACCATTACAAATTTGAAGGAATGCTTAATGTATTATACATACAACAATTTTTAAATTAACTAATACAGAAAACCTTTGAAAAACTATATTGAGATGAATTTATCGAAAAATGACAACATTTTGTATATATGTTCCCAAGCAATTGAAACCAAACGAAGGAGAAAGAACACCTTTACACACCTAGGAATCAATAAAAGAACAAATCAAAAATAAAAGAGGATTTGTCGAAACCTTAAATGTAAACTATATATTAACTACAGCAAAACGAGAACAAGAAACCTTCCAAGCAGAATGGACAACTGCAAACCCTCAAAACCCATCAAATCAATGTTCATGGATACTATTTATGTATAACAAATATATTAGTGCTGAAGCACAAGCAGAAGCTCAAAAGAAATTTAAAGCACTAGTATTTTTTTTTTTTTTTTTTTTTTTTTTTTTTTTATTAACTAGCCTCTTTGACATAGGGGTTTTTATTCAAGTATAATAGGCGGGGAGCTCACAATGGAATCCTAATTACATTAGAGAGTACAACTAGCCACATGTGCGCCTTTTGAGCATCTATTTAAGTAGTCTGTGTATAGATAACTGTACACTATAGGTTCTACACTAGCTGTCATACCTATAACCCAACTAGGGGATTACCTATTTAAACTCTCTGTAACATAATTTATCCTCGAGGCATCGTTGCTAGAGCTTTCTGTATCCACAATCTGGCTAATCTAGACTTTCGGTAACTTATGCCAAGTCTGAAAATGAGTACTTGCGAGCCAAAGCCGCTACCATTACCTATTACTGCCCTTGTAGAGTTCACCCAAACCCCAGCACCTACTTTACGGACCATCTATCATTTCACCAGTCCCCAAACTCCCAATTCAGATAGCCCGGAAGGGTGGACCCTCTTCTCAATATACAATGATGGCCTGGTTAATATGGTGTCTTGCCAAACACCTTGATTCTGTCCAGTTTCCAGATCTTCGGTGATAATCTTTTACATAGTGCTGTCGAAGATTTGTATTACCTCTCTATTTAGGACTTGCCAAGCAGGATTCCGTATGTCCCAGCTCTAAATTTACACAAATGCTTCACTCAGATTTTGTGTAACTCTTGTGTCACACTATAGTTCCACATTCTTCCAGTACAAGCTGGTATGACCAAAGCTACAGATCTGATGATCATCAGATTACTTATAGTCTGCCATAACACATTCTGTAAAATTCGAATTTCGTTGGCAGTGGGATTCGAACTCTTGAACTGATACTTGGGGTGCAACAACTTACCAACTTCACTAAGTCGCCACACCCAGCACTAGTATTTAAACCACAATACCTTAACAATCTCAAATTACAACTATTCAAAGCATCGTATTATAAAATGTGAGAAGAAGCAGCAATTAATTAATCCTTTAAAGAAGTAGTATAGACAAATCTCAAAGAAAAATTACCTACAAGACATTACCAAGAAGAAGACTACTTTTTTCAACTACAATTCACAGGAGCACCAACATTATTCAAAACAGCATTTGAAGCACTTGAACAAATCTATAATGCATACTATAACAGTGATGTAGGAAAATATTTTCAAAGCAACTATGGCAAACCTGAAAATAAAGAAGCATTCTTTTCAGCAAAACAAAACTTAGCAGTAATAGATCTAGAAAAAATATTTGGCTTTAAATGTGGACAGAAAGAACATTTTGCAAAAAACTGCTCTAACCCGAAACGATTTGCTAAATACCCGTACCAAGCCTAAAATTATAAAAACAAAAGTGACAAGAGATATAATAACCAAAACAAAGAAAAATATTAACAGCAAAAATAGCAC